ACTTTAATTACTATCTATTGAGAAGGAAATGTGGGACACATTACCATTTCAACCTTCCCTGGCTAACCTGGTCAGATGTTACTGGCTAAAACACAAATAAATACATTCCATACTGGATTTCAGCAGCTGGATTGATTATTTCCTGAGGTTTTTTGCTGTTCCCAGGAATGCCTGTCTGTATTCCACTGAGCATTCTCCACAGAAAAGGACTTCCATGTCCTGACTATGCTAACGTGCAGTCTGCCCAGGTGTGTTGCTGAGGGGAGGGCTTGTGCGTACATTTGCCTAGTACCCCTTTCTCTGCATCTATTCAACACTCTTTCCCTGCCAGGAAACATGATGGTTCGGGGTTCCCATCTTCATGAAGTACAGCATCTTATGGCCTGTACCTACATCAATATGTACCTTTACCCTGCCTCTCACTCCAATGTCTTGTCTACTCACCCAGAATCTTTTGGGGCAAATTGTAATTCATTGTGTCCACCACAGACTGGTACCATGTTTTGCACATGCTTTGGACAGGAAGTAAAGGAACTAAAGAAGTCAATGCTTAGCTTATTAGCACTGAGTGAGATCCCTGAAAGCTACAGCCATTTTACATTCTTGCATCACTTTTGAAAACTCCAAATAATGGCTGTCCAATCAACTTGAATAGAAAACTGAAGCCGCTGCTTTGAATTTTAGAAAAAAAAAAAATGACATACTAAAACAAAGAAGTACAAATACTATCATTCATAATGTGATTGTATTTATATTCCAAGTATTTGAGAATACAGAATTGGGCTTAAGGGAACAGGTAGGAGAAAACAATAGAAGGGAAGGGAAAAATGGCAGGAAGTGGAAGAGGAGAATGAAACAAGGGGAACAAAGAGCCAAAGAGGAATGAATAAGGAAAGGCTCACAGTCTATGTACTAACCAGTTACTGCGGGCTTGAAATTGAGTGTCATTAGGATACAGTGCCCCCCAAAGAAGGAAATAAACCAGCAAATGAAAATAATGGGAGTATAAATCATTGCATCAGTACTTATGGAGGCTTTATTCCATGTTAAAATCCTATACACATGGATTAGTGTTAGTTCTCTGAAATGAAACATCAATAAGAGGACCACACGGTGCTGACTGTATCCTCAACTAACTCAGTTCAGCTTTAATTATCACTTTCATCTGGCAGCAGCATGGTGCCATGTAAACAGAAATGGGTCATGGGAGGCATGGGTTCTTGTCCCGACTACCATTATATGACCTTGGCTGCCAAGCTCTGAGCCTCAGTTTCCTCCTTTGTTGCAAGAAAGAATCCTCTGCCCTGCTTATCTCATAGGAGTGTTAGAAGGATGAAAAGTAGAAATGAACATATTCATGCTTGGATAAGTATAAAATACCAGATAAATGTAAAATTGACCTTGTTCTCTTCACTTAATAAGGTAGTGGGTAGGCGTGGGGTGGGGATGATGACATTTTTCACAGAAGACTTGGTGACTCAATGACGTGTCTTTTTTTTCCTCTTCCATAATATCTGGTTTGAGATTATTACCGCTTTCTCGATGATTTTAGACATACTTTTCCCCTTCAGAAATGCCAAAGGTGAAAAATACTATTCTACTGCTATAATTTGTCACCCTTGCTGCCTGAGCAAGACGTGCATAGATAGTTTAGTAATTAAGCTTTTCAACACTGCATCATAAAGTTTTATTCCAGCAAAGGCTATATTTATCAGCTAACAAGTATTAAATCACCCCACTGCTCAAGCCATTTCTCACTTGAATATGCTCCTTTTAAATCAGAGCAGCTTTCCTTGGCTGGCTTGATTAATAAAAGTCCTTGTTTGGAAATAATGTGATGATGTGTGGTCCGATGCGGCTGACATACGTACACCTTAGCAACTGTTCCAAATGATGTTGACCTCTCTGTTCCAGTGGAATTTGATACCTTAGCCCTGTGGTCTTTCAAGGCATCCTGACCATGGAGTTTCACAGCCTTCTGGGATGGCTTCCAGTTTGATATAGTCACATATCTGTTGCATTTCTAAAGGGGAAGAAGTAAATGAAAACAAAGAACACAAGCATTTGATCCATTTTATTTTCCTTATTTGAGCATCAGGAAATTGGTCTGTTTCTATCAGAGATGGATTCTAAGCGTACAATGAGTTTTCAAAAACAATTAAACTAAAAAAGTGACAGTGATCTATATATTATGCAGGGTTTTTGTTTGTTTGTTTGTTCTTCCTAATAGTACTATAGCCCTCTCAAACCAGATGCACAATTATTAGGGAAACACACTTAGAATGAATGATACCAAAAGTCATCACTAACAGTTTAGCAGAGTATTTTCTCTAAGTACCCCTCTCCACTTTTGTCAATCTTTTGTCTCTCATGAAAGTAATATAACCTTGTTCTTAAAGGTTCAGGGCCTTTCAGTCAACTGTATCCAGAACTATAATTTTAAAAATAGTTATTACATGTAAATAACTTTTCTGTACCTTATTTTAAAGGGAAAGCAAACTGCTATCAATAAGTTGTATACCTGTAAAAAGCTGAACTGGAAAAAGTTGTGTGATAGCTACATTTACAACAAAGACCCAAAGAGAAAAAAAAAACAAAACAACTACTGAGCCTGCTTGCATGCAACCAAAGACCTCAAGGGACTTGATTTCTTGGTTTGGATGTTTAGGGTCATGGTTTCCTGGCACATCCCAGTTAACAGGCCTAATAACATGTTTAGCCCATATGTTACAGCTCCTAGTTCATTGCATAGTGCCTGGAGTCTTAAAAGCTTGCAAGCAGCTATCTAAAACACAATAATTGGTCTATATTCATCTGGAACAACCTAGGAAAAGAGGAGAGTCAGGGATAGGAGGAGAATATGGAATGTGTAGCTAATTGCCTTTATGAACAATTACCATGAGATCAGAAGAACTGGTTGGTGCCCAGCTACCATTACTGAACATTTTGACCAAAAATTCCATAGGAGAATACTGATCAAAAAGGGGAAAATGTAGAACAGAATTTAAAATTTCACAGACTCTAGTTCTGGTGGCATAGTGCCTAAGGCACTTGACTGCTAACCAGAAGGCTGGCAGTTCAAACCCACCAGCCACTCCTCAGAAGGAAGATGGGGAAATCTACTTCTGTAGTGATACTGCCTCGGAAACCCAAGGAGCGGTCGCTATGAGTCTGGTCCGACTCGATGGCACATAACAACAACAACAACAACAGAATTTCTGGAGCCATGAAGGGTGAATGCATGCCTAAAACTATTGCCCTGAGGTGTTCTTTAAACCTTAAACCAAAAATATCCCCTGAAGTCTTATTAAAACTGAACAATAATTTGGTGGGTTTGGTTCAGTTTTTTGAGTTTAAAATAAATAAATAAATAAATAAAGTCTGCCTTGAGCTTTATGCACTTTTAAGAACTATCATATAGGATCAAACTGACAACAGCAACTTGAAAAATCAGGAACTTTGGGAGAGCAGTGAGTTTGTTAATGAGCGAGGAACAACTCAGAAAATGAGGGTTCGAGTGATTGCACAACTCAAAGAATGTAACCAATGTCCCTAAATTGTACAATGTACAATTGTACATGTACAAACTGTTGAGTGGGTTTTGCTGTGTATATTCTCAGCTACAACAAAATAAAGAAAATTTAAAGAAAAAGAAGGGAAAGCAAAAACCAAATGTTAAATATGGGCCAAAATAAAGGAAAAATCTTAAGAAATCATATTGATTTTCTTTTTTCCTTTCCTTGCTTTCAAAGTAAGTGACTTTTTTTTATTTTTAATTTTCTACCAATTAAAGGACACATGTAATTCCATGTCACGGAAACACAAAATTCACTCTGTCAGTCATAAGCATGTGCTGATCGTGCCCATGTACATGTATATAGGATAGTGGGCATCTAAGTGTGGAACTTAAAATATTACAAAGATAGTAAGTCTTTTGTTGAACTCTTCTTAGTTTGAAAGGCTGCAACAAATTATTTCCTTTCACAATTATAAAATAGAACTTACCATTTTGCTTTTCAAATTAGCAACAAGTAGCTTGTTTGGAAGGCCAGGGTTCAATTCTGTCCAGCCAGCAGGTCATAGAGTCAAGTCACTGAAGCTTGTGGGTGACATGCTGAACCACTAAGTTGGCACATATTGAACTATTTTAAGTGCATCTATTTTCTGGCTCAGTAAATTTTTTGCTGTGTTAAATTCATTAAACTTGACATAGTCTACTGTCTAAATGTCATAGGACTTGAATTGAAGAACATATTGAAAAAACAGTTATCAGTCATAGGAAAAAGACAAAGGTAAATAAAGATAGATAGATTTTCTATTTAATGTTTACTTTATTAATGATGGAATTTTTTTAAAGTGAAGAAGTACTGTGTAATTTGGAAAGTCAAGTTGAATTTGGTTATTTTCTGAACAGCTGAAGAGGCTCCCCTGTCAGTCAAGTTGCCCTCCAAACTGGCATCCTAGAGATGCTGACATATTTGACCTACAATTCAGGATCCTTTAATAACTTGAGAGGGAAATGAGAAACCAAAATTACTCTGATATCCACAGTTTAGAGAAATCTTATAGTTCAGTAATTTGCAAAATATTGATTCAAGGACACATTTGAAGGTCTAAAATGAGGTCTTGATAATGATTATCCTTTATTTGGAACTGAAATGTTCAACAGGCTAATTTAAGGCTTTGGGATATAAATTATTACTTTGATGTGGTATAATTTTTTGGAGGATGACTTGTTATTCTTAAGCACTACTTTACTTCAGTAGGGTATAGTTATGGTTATTCAAAAAGTGGCAAAAGGTATAAAAGTAAAGGAATTTTCATTCTAACTGGGTTGTAACTATTGATATTATAAAGTTGGTTTTATACTCTGTATAAAAATAATACTGAGTAGAGAACAACTTTGCAGTAATTTTTCTGAACAAAATGGAAAACAAACTAATCAATAGCAGAACACTGAAAACAAAACCTCAAGATATATGTAGAGAATGATATAAGTACTAAATATGATGCTTTAAAGTTTCTAAAACACATATAGCAGAAGTTATGCAGCCATCAAAGTTGGACTGAGTAAACCCATCTCCTCCACATACAAGGAAAGGTTTGAGATGAAGAGTCATTTGTCCAGGACAGTTGGTAGCAGCATTTGTAACCTGAAAAAGTAAGAAAGATGAATTGCAATTGACATTCCATGTACCTTCATTCTGTCATGGCAATGCCCACCTGGGGAAGACCTCTCCACCTGGAATAATCAAGATTTTTCACCTTGAGGGAAGAAAAACTAAGACTTCCAAACTCATCCCTAACCCCAAAGTGTTTACATTTTTAAATGTTTACATTTCCAGTTACTCAATACATAAATTGAACTTATTCAATAAGCACTTAATCAGAAGTGTGCTAAATTTCAAAATATGTAGGTCATGACATGCTAAATCACTTTTAAGAACAGTTTTATGATATTAATTAAAGCATTCACCAAACAATTATTAAGTATCTGCTATGTGCCAACAAGGTGGATACAAAAGAGACTAAGGTGCTTACTGTGTCCTTAAGGAGTTTACAGTTCAGCGTGGAAGGATGGCACATAACAGTGGCGGTTAAGTGTTTAGATAGAGTGAAGGAGAACACACAGAAGAGGACATATTCAAACCCATGAGGACACAAAATCCTTCAAAGAGGACATGATGAGACATTTCACTTGAGTTTCTGAAGGATGCAGGATGCAGGAGAGTTTAGCAGTGAAGAAAACAGGGGAAAGTCATTCCAAGGAGAGGAAGCAGCATATGAAGTTCTTAGAATCCATGGGTAAGAGACGTTAAAGTGTGTGTGTGTATTGTGGAGGGTAGGGGCTGGTGAGGAGAATGGGAGGTGGCAATATAAGAGAGATAATGTTTCAAAATAAAAAAATATATAGAAAACTCAAAAAATGTCTACTAAAGACATAGAATTATCACATATGAACTAAAAGGAAGAGAATCATCCAAAGTCTGGCATTTTTTATTTTGTAGCACCAAATTCATAACAATTGAAATGACAAAAAAGGCATAGAGGTTATTTCCTGGAAATATTATGCTTAAAATTAGGATGGATGATGTTAGTAAGCATTTGTAGTGAAGAGAATTAGTGAGAGATAAATGTCGTGTTCTTGGACACTGAGATGGTTTGGTCACTGAAACACCAACACCTCCTCCAAAAGAGGAAATAAACAACATGCACACACACACACACACACACAAACTTAGTGCAAAGGCAGTCTCCCTTAAGACAGCGTCACCATACAACTTCAAGGGCATCATTTGTATACACTACAAAGTAGTGGGTTTGGTTTCTCTTATATGGTAATTTTATGGATAGTAATAAGATAAGGTTCATATGAATTTGCTTGCTTAAGAATCAAAATAAAAAAATGTAATAAATGTTATTGGGTTTATGGTGCTGAAATTTTGGTCCTAGACAGGGTATGTTAGTATATAAGCTTTTATGCTTTTTTCAACCCAGAAAAATTTTACATAGATATTTTTATTTATATGCTATACAGGCAGTGCCTGGGTAATGAACAAGATCTGTTCCTAACAGTGTCTTTAAGAATTTGTAGGTAAATTGGACCAGGGGCATACAATTCAATCAATGCCAATGGAAGCAGCAGTCAAGACATCAGATGACGTATAGCACTGGGCAAATTGGCTATAAAGGACCTCTTTCAAATGCTGAAGAGCAAAGATGTCTCCTTGGGGACTAAGGTGCACCTGACACAAGCCATGATATTTTCAATTGCCTCATATGCATGTGAGATCTGGACAGTGAATAAGGACAGAAGAAGAGTTGATGCTTTTGAGTTGTGGTGTTGGTGAAGAATGCTGAAAGTACCGTGGACTGCTAAAAGAACTAACAGGTCTGTCCTGGAGGAAATGCAGCCAGAATGCTTCTTGGAGGCAAGAATGGCCAGACTTTGTCTTACATACTTTGGTCATGTTGTCAGAAGGGACCATTCCCTGGAGAAGCATGTCATGTTTGGTAAGGTGGAGGGTTGGCGAAAGAGGGGAGGGCCCTCAATGAGGTGGATTGACACAGTGGCAGTGGCGATGGGTTCGAGTGCAGCAACAATCATGGATCTGGCTCAGGACCGGGCGGTGTTTCATTCTACTGTGCATGGGGTCGCTATGAGTCGGAGAGGACTTGATGGCACCAAACAACAACAGCACACGGTTCTTATTTTCTCTTACTTTAGTGTAAGAAAAGGCTAACAGCCTTTGCAAATGATTTAAAAGCTGCATGCACAGCAAGTGAAGGTGATTGTGATAAAGAAATTGTTGCAAGTAGGGATTGGTTCAATTGTTTCAAAGTGAGGGCAAATTTACACTAAATTAAAGGGCAAGTTGAAGTTGTTCATAAATTGGACATTCCTAACAGGGGACTGCCTATATTTTGCTCTTAGGAAAAAGAAGGGATACTATTTTTTTCCTTGTTGAGCTTGTACAGATATAGCCCTTTAGAGGCCTGAGTCATTCAGACACAAGCATAAAATGTTAAAGGAGTATTCTCTCACTTTCTGGAAGTCAATTTATAGCAGCAACAGTGTCTATCATAAGCATAGCAGGTAATCTTGAAATAGGCAGAAAATATTTTTGAATGGTTAAAATAGCATATAGTGTAGATACTAAAGCGAAAAATTAGACTTTCAATCGAGCTTTTTAACTTCTGCTTTAGGCAGAATTTTAACAAGTTGGTTTATTTGCTTTTTCAGTTAGACATTAAGGGTGCAAGAAAAATGCTTATTGTTAGTTGCTGTTGAGTTGGCTCCAACTCATGGTGACCTATTGTGCAACAGAACGTAAGTGCTCCCCAATTCTGCTCATGAGCGTCGGTATGTTTGACTCCATTGTTGTGACTGTTGTGTAATCCATTTCATTGTGGATTTCCCTCATTTTCACTGTCTACTACTTTACCTGCCATGATGTCCTCTCCTAACAATTGTTTTTTCCTGTTGATATGTCCAAAGTGAATAAGTTGAAGTCTCTACATCTTTGTTTCTAAGAAACAGTCTGGTTATACTTCTTCTAAAACCATTTTTTTCCATTGTTTTAGCAGTCCACAGTGTATTTGATACTCTTCACCAACACCACAGTTTCAATGCATCAATTTTTCTTCTTTCTTTTCACCATTCAGCTTTCACGTGCATATGAGGCAATTGAAAATATCATGGCACACTTTAATCTTCAAAGAGACATCTTTGCTTTTTAACACTTTAAAGAGATCTTTTGCATCAGAATTTTCCAATGCAGTATATCATTTGATTTGACTGCTGCTTCCGTGGATGCTGATTATTGATCTAAGTAAAATGAATTCATTGAAAACTTTGATTTTTTTCTCCATTTGTTATGATGTTATTTATCAGTCTACTTGTGAGTATTTTCATTTTACTCATGTTCAGATGTAGTACATAATGAGGAAGAAAATGGCTAAATTATTATATATTACTGATCTTAGAATGTGCCAACTGATAGTTGGAAAGCACAAGATGTTACATAAAAATTTACAGCATATGCAGGATGGGGAAGAAGAGTGGAAAGGGGGCAATTAACCTCTGGTGTTTAATATGACCTGAGGGTGTCACTTATTTCAGTTGTCCTGCAATTGTTACTTGTAATTAATAATTATTAATCATATCAGGAAAGACCAGTTGCTAGCAGAGAAATCACGCTTTATCTAATTATTAATTCACCACTTGTCTGTCAGTTGGTTGTACCACAGAGGCTTTCATGTTGCTGTAATGCTGGAAGCTATGCCATTAGTATTTCAAATGCCAGCAGGGTCACCCACAGTGGACAGGTTTCATTGGAGCTTCCAGACTAAGACAGACTAGGAAAAAAAGGATGTGGCCAAGTATACCTCTGAAAACTTAATGAATAGCAGGGAAACAGTGTCTGATATAGTGCCAGAAGATGATCCCCTCAGGTTGGAAGGCATTCAAAATAGGGAAAGAGCTTCCTCCTTAAAGTAGAGCTGACTTTAATGATGTGAAAGCAGTAAAATGTTAGGGACCTTCAACTACTGATATGGCACAAATCAAAATGAGAAGAAACAGCTGCAGATGTCCAATAAGATTAGAAAGTAAAATGTACAAAGTATGAACCTAGGAAAACTGGAAGTTGTAAAAAATGAAATGGAATGCATAAAGATCAATATTCAAGGCATTAGTCAGATGAAATAGACTGGTATTGGCCTTGCTAAATAGGATAATCATATAATCTACAATGCCAGGAATGACATGTGATGAGGAATGGCAGCACATTCATCATCAAAAAGAGTATTTTAAAATTTATCCTGCGGTACACTGCAGTCAGTGATAATACAGTATCCATACACCTACAGGAAGACCAGTTAATACTACTACTATTCAAATTTATGCATCAACCAATAAGGCAAAAGATGAAGAAATTGAAGATTTTTATCAACTTCTGCATTCATGCAATCAAGATGTATTACTGATGATTGGAATGCAAAAGTTGGAAATGAAGAAGTTTCAATAGTTAGAAAATATGGCCTCGGTGATGGAAATAAGGTGGAAACAGCGTGATAAATTTGCAAGATCAACAATTTTTTCATTGCAAATACATTTTTCAACAACATAAATAGCAACTATACATGTGGCCCTCACCAAATGGAATACACAGGAATCAAATCAACAACATCTGTGGAAAGACAATGGGAAAGCTCAGCACCACCAGTGAGCACAAGGCCAGGAGCTGACTGTAGAACAAACTATCAATTGCTTATATGCAAGTTTATGTTCAAGCTGAAGAAATTAAAACAAGTCCATGAGAGCCAAAATATGACCTTGAGTATATCCCACTTGAATTTACAGAACATTGGAAGAGTAAATTTGACACACTGAATATCAATAACTGAAGGCCAGGCAAGATGGGGGAGGACATCAAGAACATCATACATGAAGAAAGCAAAAAATCATTTAAAAGACAGGAAAGGAAGAGCAGACTAAAATGGATGACACAAGAGACTCTGAAACTTGCTCTTGACTAGAGAGTATAGCTAAAACAAATAGAAGAAAACATGAAGTAAAAGACTTGAACAGATTTCAAAAGGTGGCTCAAAAAGACAAAGTAAAATGTTGTAAGGAAATGTGCAAAGACCT